GAAAGTATAACTTTACAATGAATGCACTTATATAATGGATGAATTTGGCCAATTTCATAGGTATATAGCACATCTTATTGGAGTAATTAGCAGAATGAAAATTATCAGAAATTCCAATTCAAATATCTTGTAAAATTTTATGAATCTTGGCTTGAGTAGGAGATGGAGGGTCATAAAAATCTAAAAACCACTTAACACAATGTCTGTTATGTATTGAGAAATGTATTGAGTCCTCCTAGAAGAGGAAAAAGCTGCAATAGCTTAAAATATGCTCATCACAAAAGCTTAATCAAGAATTCCATTGATGCCCCATGATCTGGTTCAGCCCATTACAGAGAGCACATATGGGAAGTTCAGATTTGGATTAAAGTTCTTTCTGTGCATTGCAAAGTCTTCCTAGCATCTTTAATGCTGCTCCCCTTGAGACGTGAACATTAAACAGTGTTCCTTCTGGCCTGTTCTTCATCAGGAGTAAAATTCTGCCCTCAAACTTTATTAATGATTCTACTGGTGATACATGAGATGAAATAAAGCACAACTCATTCCACAAAACCAGCATTTCCTTTTCTAGGCTAGAAGGAATAATAAAGAAACATATTAAAATTGGTGATGACAGCTACTTCTGTTGGAAAATTAATATGTGGCTCAAAGTACAGACCATCTAAATTGCATATCCATAAGTGGTTTCATGTTCAAAGGGGTAACATTTGATTGAACTATGTTTATATTTAGAAAATGGGCATCTTCCTTTTCAAGCACTGTGTTAGATTTCGATGGATTCTTTTTAAATGCATTTCACATTTCCATACTTTTTTGCTGCAGTACTTTACATGCTTTTGTAAGTCACTTTTAAAAAATACTTGAACTTTTTAGAAGGCTAAAAGTACATGCCTTAAGGCCTGTCTGAGCAAACTAACCATCTACAGCTGGCAAATTTGCTTGCCCTATTTTCAGCCGAACTGAAAACATTTGGGTCGTTCATAGGCATATTTTAGTGTTTGCAGTAGGAATGGCATTCCAGGGACGCCCATCCTTTCCTGCCTTGCATCAATCCTCCAATAATGGTCCACTCAGGACTCTGTAGACCTTCTCACTTGGTAAAAGATAAAATTGGCTACAAAAATACCATCAATTCTATAAGCTAAATCTAAGGGGCTTTTTAAAATGAACAGTATTGTTGGGTTTTTATCAGAACAGCAGAAAGAAAAATAAAGCAACAAAACCCCATTACTCAACTCAGAGTGATAATTTTTATTCTGTCATCTTGCAGCTCAACATTACTGCATCTGGTAAGGCTTCGTTTTGGTGTGGCTGTCATATTGTCTCCTGAAGGAGTGTCACAAATCTAGGATAATCTTGAGCACTCTGTACAGAGTGATCTCTTTATGCTTAATAGCTACCAATGCATTTCTCTTCCAATGATTTGTCCAAACAGTTTTGGATCTTAGTCAATTTTAGCATCCAGAGTATCCTATGGCACACATTTCACAACAAATTGCACTTCTCATTTCCAGTCTGCATTTCTCTGCTTGTGTTTTATTTGTTTATTGTTGTTCTTACATTGTCCTTTAGACAGAATGCCTCTTCTTCCTTACTGATATTTATGTAAATCCTAACTACCTTAATAAACTAGCTTTTCTGGCAGTATCCTGAAACGAGGATGAACAATCTACAATGTTCAAACCAGCATAGAATATATATAACCAAGGCAGTAACAGCATACTTGAGTACCAGAAGTATCACAGCAGACTCCCTCAGCTCAGAAAGATAAATTAACCCACATGAAGAACCACACTTATAGAATATTTTTATGCACCAGTAGATAGTACTTTAAAAGCATGTGAAGAATATGTGATCACCTAGAGCAAAATCTAACACGCCTGCTACATAGGGATCAAGTCACAGTATTCACTTTTTCTACCCATTCACAAGCAAACACACATCAATAGAATTCATTGGCATTTACACCAGTGTTGCAGCATCTCTGTATGAAGGAAACCTGCCTGTGATGTGGTTATTCTGACCAGACTGGCTTTCAGACTGGGAAAGATCTGCCGCATCGCAACACTGATCAGACTGCTCCAGTAACGGTTCTTGAACAAGACTAGCTGCTCAGGCCAGCTGTTACTGTGGAAATGTTCCCCAGTCAGTGTCCATCTCCAAATTGTTTTTATGAGGTGTTCCTTAGATGTAACCAAAAAATAGGCACTCAAAAATCACTTTGGAGGATAAATAATATGTTCCAAACAACAGGAAGGGGTAGATAGGTTTTAGTAAGCCCTGTTAGCACGCTTAGCACGCTCTTTTTAATAAACTGTTGTTCTTCTTATTCTGGCAAGTGGATCAAGTATGGTTTAGTATTCCCACCCAAGGAATATTAGCTGTCCCCAGAGCAATGAAAGGGTTAGGGTGTAAGTTTGTTGGCACTAGAGGAAAATCCTCTAGAAATAATTCTAGTTTAGTTTCACATTTCTGAACTATCAAGGGAAATGTATATAAAGGGTAAAAAACAAGCAACCAGAAAAAAACAAAAAAGGAAAAACAAAAAAGGAAAAAAAAAAAAAAGGCACCACAAATATCAACCTTGTTTGTGTTTGTGTAGGGAGTATTTTCCAGAATTTGTGCTTTTTTGTGCTTGCTTACAGTGGAAGCTGCAAAGATTTGTCTGCATGCAGGAGAACAAACAAAAGGGATTCAGAGGGAAGGGGTGCTACGCTGTGCATTCTACAACCATTTCTATTTTATCCAAGGATATATGTCTTGGAATCAGTAATAATCTTGTCTCCTCAGAAACTTATCATAGCAGGCAGTAATAAATCATTCAGGCATTCACTCAGTCATTCCCTTTCTAAGTCCCACTGTGTATCATGCATCTTGGGACCGCTATGAATGCGCATAACACTGAAAATACAACAGATTAAGAAAACAAACCAGTCACACAGGAGATTGTCCTACGACAATTGTAGTGCTAAAAGAGTTCATGGAAATGAACAAATCTTGGTATGAAACTAAAGACATAGGCTCTTGTAATCAACATGAGCAAGGAGGATAACAAAGCTATAAAACATTATTTTAATATTCTTCCACGTGTTATTCCATCTGACAAGAAATTATAAGGAATACATACAGAAAAAATGGGGACACAGATTCTGTTTAATCCTATGGAACCTTCATCTCCTAGATTGTAACACATGCATGTTTTCAAGGGTAGAATTAGGGGGCGTATCTTCAAATCAAGATGTAATTTGAAACTTTGCCAAGGAGTCTTCTGAAGTTGGCACTGATAGCCTGTCTCTTTTATTTTATTTTATTTTATTTTATTTTATTTTATTTTATTTTATTTTATTTTATTTTATTTTATTTTATTTTATTTTATTTTATTTTATTTTATTTTATTTTATTTTATTTATTTTATTTTATTTTATTTTATTTTATTTTATTTTATTTTATTTTAATTTTAATAAAATCTCAGAGCATAACTTACTTCTTACTTGCATTCAGTACTGCCTAGCTACTAGTGAAGGTGAGGTTTGAAGTGGTTTCCTTATCTATTAGTGTTCACCTTCTTCTTTGGATATTGCTAATGCAGGACCTATCAAATTTGTGATACATTTAATTAGTATCTCTGGACTGGGACTCCTTTGCCAGTACTGGAACAAAAAAGCAGTAGTTTGCCACAAGGCAAGGGCAGCTTTATGCAATAACTAAATGTAGCCGAGGTGCATATAGTTCAGTGACAAGTATTCATTAGCAGGAAAGCTCATTCAGGAGGTACTTGCTTCCTGTCCATTTATATATACATGTATTGCACATATCCAAATTAAGCACATAACTGTGTATTTTTGCCCAGGCTCACTTATCTATGTAGATCATAAAACCCAGCAAAATAGTGTTAATATGTTTTGGGGAATTCAGATGTTTACATTGGCATATGTTTTGTAAACACTTTCCTGGGTAAAAAGAAGAAAACCTGGATCAGCTGAAACCCAGATCCAGTTTCTAATTGAGTTTCATTGTTTGCATAATATTCATAAATGGAAATCAATACACTTCCATCACAGCAGTATATCTGTTACGAAGGTATTAAAATAGTTTTCTATCACTTCTTAATAGATAGTGAAAAAAATACTATTTTCTAAGTAGAAAGACAATACAATGCATTTCCCATTCACTTTTGGAGAACATAGATATTAAGACCTGTAGTTTATCAAAGGAAAAACCTTTAGTAGAGACTCTTTTAAAATTGTTTGTAAAACATTTGTGTTGTATAACTTTGGATTACATGACTGTGCAGCTGTAACTATGAACAGACAACTCTCAATTTTTTTCAAATGAATCAGTATGAAATGAACTTTCTCTCACAGTAACATTAGATCTCAAGATAAACTTGCTTGACTTTTGTTTTCCATCCATTTCAATAATGCATTTGTTTTACCTGCTACATAGATTTAAAACAAACCAACAATACATACAATACAACATTAGGATTACTGGACAAGCTAAGAAATAAAAGGGAAATAAGTTTCTAAGTATCTACTCCATTTACTTTAGATTATGGAACAGAGGCTACTCTTTGCTACTTGCTATACTGTGCTACTTGCTATAGACTCACACATTCAGAGATTACTGGGTTTATCCCTAAACTGTGCACCTTCACAAGAAAACTGCAATTTATTTTCTCATTTACATGTGATATGATTTTATAGATTAACACAGCAAGGAATGGCATGAGTATCTGCTTGTGCTGAAAGTGACTATAGGATCAAATAAAAAGGCCGGTTCTAGCAAAAATGAAAGAATAACTCTATGGAAAACTTCATGGCATAAATCCCTCAACCAGGAATGCTAGAGAGGAAACAAAAAAATCCTCTGAATATATAAGCAACCCTAAATTTCCTATTACTGTTGTGGAATGTTTTAGAAACCTAACAGAAATCAGAAACAAATTCATGCCTCTACATGCCACTCGTACAACAATAAAGTGTCAAAATAGTACTTACAGCTAGAGAATATCAGTGGACACGAGTGTTCATCCATTGGGAAATTGTGTAGCTGCAGCTGGCACTCAGCATTGATGGTAAGCCTGTGGAGAAACCAAGTGACTGTCACTAAACACCAGCAGAATGAACAGCTAGAGGAAGAAACTGGGCAACCTTAAGTGGTCATACCAGAGAGCTTTGATATTTGTAAATTGTCCATTGGATATTTAGGCCTACTCCAAAACAAATATCACTTAAAAAACATAAATAATTTCAATAACATCATTAAGACTTTCCTGATCCCAATAAATTTGTGCATATGTTTTTCTTGACAAACACCAATCAATTCACCATTAAAGAACATGGGATAGAGACAACTATCCATTAAAAAAATAACAGAAAACTGGCTGATGTGGTTTTATGCAATTCCACAAAATTAAAATATCATAAAGAATCTGATGAGATTGGGAATAGTCTCTTCATTAATTTATATTATAGTGTGAATTTAAAATTCATTCAGTCATTTTGGGATGTCTCTTAAAAATGTATAAAAACTCTGTATACCAGTCTCAGCTGTACAGATGTTGCAAACACAAATCAGCAGAAAGGTCTTCAGCCCCATTTGAAAAGGTTTTTTTTGTGATATCCTAGCCCAAAGGACATTATGAATGGACTTGATATAAAAACAACTATTATAAACAGGTAAATTTTATTATGAAAGATTACAAAGTGAATTAATAGTAGATTACCTTAAATTCTAGTTTATTGTCTAGTGTTTTTCAGTAAACAGATGCTACATTAACTGCATGTCTGAATTTATGTAGCAAGTGTGAGGCATGGTTTTTGTTGTTGGTGGTGGTTTTGTTTTGTTTTTAATACTCAAAATCTAACAAAATGAATTGGCTAAGGTCTGCGTATCTAATTTAGGACGGGATGGAGAAAACCTCCGTGTCCTGGAGAAGGTCATTTATAAGGAACTTTGTGTTGATGTTAGAAGAGGATCTGGGGTGTTACAGCAGGAGTAGGCAGGCAAGAAGAGAGAGAGGCAAGGAGCAAGACTGAACCTTGTGCACAGAATTGTACTTTCTCCTGAATACAGAATGTTTATCAACACATCACAGAAGCTAGATATGCAATAATTATCACTCCCATGCCATACTGATTCTGTGTGGTCACCTAAGTCAAAAAAATTAGTTGTTTCTGAATAAAAGAGTGTTATCTGTGAGCAATGGTCATTCTAACAGCCTCTCCCATGAGAAAAAGGAGGCTGACATGAGTGTAGAGAAGGATTCAGAACAGCTTTCACAGCCCATTCAAACTTGGTCAAATAGTAATCCATTTTTAGATGGTTTGGCTAAATTTTGCAGTCCATGTGTCAAATAGTTTTTTTACATAAGTATGTAAGTCTAACAGTCATTAGGGAGATATGCAACTTGCCCTGAAAACTGAAATAAGACTACAAAACAAACAGACAAACAAACCAAACAAGCAAAAACACAATAGGTGATTACAGCTGTCAATTTAATCACCAAGGTCTTTAGCTAAAGGCTACTGAAATAAGCAAGAGTTCTGTCACTGAGAAGCAAGCCTAAGAAGGGAAGTGCACTAAAAATGTCAATAGCATTTTCAATTGTTTAATTCATTATTTGACATTTCACTGACATAAATTTCACTATTTGACAAAGACTTGCCATTGGAGCCCAACTGCAGTTGCAGGTATGACCAGAATATGCTGTTGCTCTGAGAAGGCTAAACACAATCAGTGCAGAAAACGTAGCATGAAAGATGCTTCTGAAAAAGTTTGCCTTGTGGAGTCTGGCTCATGGCAGAACTCCCTTCTGAACAATTCATCTCTTCTGTAAGTAAACATTTTGATTTCCACAGGCTCTTTTCATGCAAATATATACAGTATTTCTAATACCATACAGTCGATGGTATCACGAAGATTAGAAAAATTCTAAAAGCCTTTCCTCCAGCAATTCACCCTTGTGATGAGATGTGACAGACTATCTTTCAGCGTGACTTATTTGAAGAATCAAGTATTGGCATTAGCATGAATTTAGAAATATTTTATCCAGTCCTGCATCTAACTCTGATCAGAAAGGTTTCTGGCAGATTTTATGGACTGCATGCTCCTGATTTTTTTACAAACCCTGAAAAAAATTACTTCTATAATTTACACAGACCTGTTTCCAGTACTTAGAGTCTCATTTTTAAGAGACAAGACTTTGCTTCTAAACTGCAGTGCTTACACCTGAATATTTCACTGTTTTATCAAGAAAGGTCAGGTAAGCATCAGGAAGAAAAAAGCAGAGCAGAACAGGAAGAATGCTGAAAATTACTTTGGAGCTAAAAGTGTGAGAAGCTTTCACCCAGTGCTCTGACTGCTCACCTGAGGGTGTACAGGATCTTGCCATCGTTCCATATCCGGAGGAGCTGGTTGGGGGTGGTGATCCAGTGAGCTTCTGCCGTCTTGGAGTTCCGAAATATCGTGTCTGGAATCCAGATCAACCCAACCATGTTGCTGTTCAGAGTCAGTATTTTCATGGTGCTGTTGAAGCGAAGACGACTGTCTGTCCACGTCTGGGCAAAAAATATATCAATTTGATATTCCTGCAATGAAAGCATGATATGCAAATTGAAATCATTTCCACACTTCTCATTACTGTTTGACCTAGAGTAAAGGTTTATCTGGACATAAAGTAGCAAGGCACATTCAGGCTAAGGGAGCTGTGTTTTCTTATTTATTGTGAGCTTTTTTTTTTTTTTTTTTTTCTTTAGAAAACAAGCAAAACAACCTTTCTTACTTTTGTCTTATGCTGTAGTAATTTCTGCACTAGCTCATTCTTTTCCATTTTCTCTAAAAATTTATAGCTACAAGATACAATTTGTAGAGACTTCTTTGTCATAGGGCAGAATGATGAAAGAGGTGTGAAAAATGAACAAGAACAGCACAGGTAAACTGGGGAATTATAAATTCCTCTGACTTTTGCAATGCCTTTTGTGTGTATGTGTGTGTGTTGTGTGTGTGTGTGTGTGTAAATTCAATAAATTAATTATTCTGTTTGTTACCAACTGTTTAACTACTCTTGCAGCAGAATTGAAAAGGCATGTTTGTGCTTCCTTAAAGACCCTCAAATGCTAAGAGATGTTCAGTCACTAACTTTCTGCCCTGAACAGATGAATATCATAGCTTAAATGAATCTCATTCTTTCTTTCAGTCCCCTTTTAATTTTTTGTTACTGTAGGTAAGCAGTCATAGTAGGTATAACAATGCAGAAATTAAAATACACACAGACATACAGATAGAACTATATAGCTGAATACATCAACACACTGATATATGCATTTAATACTCCGTGGAAGAAACTGTGTTAAAAACAGTTTTGCATTGTGACCTGCAGTCATTTGAAGACAGAACAGCTCACATTTGCATTAGTCCCATTTCCTCACCATCCTTCCAGACTGCTTTATCTGCAAATCCTGTGAAGACATCTGATCACGTTAAGACCCTCTCAGTGCTGCAGTATGGGTTGCATCCACAACAGTGGTGGCATTTGCTCATATGACGCAAAGTGTGTGCCCTACAACACAGGCTAATGCAGGGGCTGAGCTACACCAGAGGAAGCAAGCTCCTTAAATCACCTGGTACATGCACTCTTGGTATATCTAAACAAAGGAGAATTTAGGCTCTGGAGAATTTAGGCTCTCTGGTATGCCTTTGCTTTTGACTGCTCTGAACTTGCTTTTATTGCATTTCTTTTTCTCTTTGTCTCTTCCTAAACTTCTCTTTTAAAAGGGAGTGTGTAAAAAGAAACGCTATTATACCAACAGTATTCTATATTGTTTTATTTATAGATTGTTAGAGGAGCTTGTAGTCTGAACTGAGGACAGCATTTTTGTTAAGAGCCATCTGGTTCTCCTGCACTATTAAATTTTTAGCAGGCCATCCTTTTAGAGATGATGCTGTAACACCAGTAAACCTAACTCACTGATACTGTAATACTAATCCAAAACATGCTCTCGGCCTCTCATCTCTAAATGGCAAATGATCAATAGGTGATCAATACTAGCGGTGCTAGCATGTATCCAAGTATTAAATAATAGATCACCTTAGGAATAAAAGCCAAGCCACCAAATGGATTAAGGACCATGTTTCTTTGTAGCCTATCTCACTGCTGTTTTTCATTGTATTAACCTGATTTTCTTAGGGAAGTGGACAGATTTGAATCTGAAGAGACTCTTCTTTCATCTTGATGATCACAGTTACACATCTTCAGACACTTAAAGGCTGCAATGTATTGTACACAACACACTGTTATTGCTACCCAGAGAGCTGATCTTGTTTTATTACAATGAACTCTATTATTTTATCCTTGAAAGTCCAGTGACAAGAGTTAGTTTGGCATATTCTGCTTCTATAGAAAAGCATATGCCAGACATGTCTATAGGTTTCTCCAAATGCTGAGTGAGTAGAGTTGCTTTTTTTAGTTCACATGTGAGAATCAGTATTTATAGAACCAAAGACCATTTGTATACAGCTGGCTAATGACAGTTCTGTCTTTTCACAGGACAAGATTTTGCATGATATTCATATTTGAGGTTATTTTATATGAATGCTTTATTTTGGCTCTCAAATGTTTACTAAATATAGGGTTAGTCATAATTCCCTTCTGGTAGATTGAACATATGTGATGATATTTAGGATTTTAGGATTTATAATATTTAGCATTTCTCCCATACCAAAGGAAAAAAGCTCCTGAGCTATGTAGTACTATGTCTTGAAAGGTACTGCAGCTAGATCTGAGCACAGTGGGCACCAGAAACAGCGTAGATGCATCAGTGTGGTTTCTAGCCAAGTAGACTACTCTGGCTGAGAAACAGATTACATTAGCAGGACCATGCTAACACCACTGTCCAACTCCCACTCTGCTTTTCCTTCACTTATTATTGCAATTAAAACACCTCAGAAATGATCATTCATCAAAATATCTCTCCCATGGGATACTGCAGCTCTGTACATTAATAAAAATGTTTTGGCTCTGATTAAATGGTTCACAGATTTTCTGAAGTATTTAGGCATTTGTTTTGTTAGCAATACACTTTTCTTCTTACAAACCTTGGTCATAAAAAGCAAAATAATAATTCAAAAAGGAAAACTGATGAAAACTTGAAATCAGATGCATTTATTTTGTCGACATTTTATCCCTATTTTTTATTTAAAATATTTACAATGCTTAGTTCAGAATGTACAAAAATTTGCCCCTACAAGACAAATTTTCTCAGTACAAAAAAGCACACATTTCCATTTAATATCTGAATTTCAGTTTCATGTTTTATATTCTCTACATTAATCCTTTTTAGGAGCAGATGTTAGATCAGTACATCCTTTACATTACTCTTTGTAATTGCTTCAGTTTTCAACCAAGCAGATAATGGGGTGATATTGACTCTACAAGGAAGAGACCGAGGTCAGTTTCTAGACACTGGCACTCAGTTCTTCACTTCTAATGGAGCTAGTTGCTGGGCACACTTCAGCAAAATTACCTTTATCTTCACTGAAAACAGATACTCAGTTCCTAGTGAAGTCAAAAGCTTGCATACACTGCTTTGCACAAAGCTAGTACAGTGATCTCCAACACACAGCATCCAACAAGAATCAGCCAGAAGAAAGGTTTCTATGTTGTTCCCACATACAGGCCAATACAATATAATACAACAAAAGAATGCTCTTCCTTTGCTAGCTAATAGCTGCCATTTAGATGAATGCCTATATTCAAAGAAAAACCTTTAGGAAAGGTGATGGTTGCTTTTAAGAATGTTCAGGCAAGTCTGGGTTTCAGTGGAAGGATGCTTCAGATGAAGCAACATCCTACAGCTCTAATAATGGTCTTTATGTGCTTGTCTGCCACCACACCAGAAGTGTTGCTAATACCCTTCTGCTTCTTTCTTTTCCTGTTTAATCTTTGGCAGCAACCACTGATTATTACAATGAACACTGGAAGAAATTGATAATAATAATACATTTTCAATAGGGCTTCTCAACTGCAGAAAGGTGAAACAGCATTCTCAAAAATGTTTCCTTATTCTACAAGCATCTATCTTGCCATGCTACCAGTACCAACTTAAGATTTTTTTTGTTATTATTATTTTTTTGCTTATACCATGTATACACTGTATCTGGATATGTTAATTATAGCTATGCTTCACCGCAGACACACTTCTGAAAAGATCTTGTTGTTGAGAAGACATAAGGGACAACTGTATGGGGAAAAATAAGTCTACTTGTTAACAGGAAGGGAAATTCTAGGGAAATATTGTTTTCTTCAGTATAGCACGTATTTCTGAAATAATATAAAAGTTCTCTGATACCAAATTCAATTATAAACTTGAAGGCATTGATAGAAAAATACTTTATCAACTTTATTAGATGTCATTATGTTTGGCTTTTAAAAATAATTTCACAGAGCATGTTACATTTATAATTTAAATTTCTTATGCTTGTAAAGTCCATCAAAATGGAATCTGTTTGCAGCAGGGTTTTACAATCTTCCCAAATCTGATTACATAAGGGAAACATTTTTTCCCTCTGTGTTGTGTTCACAACATGGTAAATGAAATGAATTTAAGAAATTGAAAGAGCAAGTAGGTGAAACTAAAACATGAGAATGTTTCCCAAAAGAAGCCTACTGATACACACGAATACTCAGTTGAATCTCTACATTCACATCATCAGACCTTTTTAAAGAAATTTTATATTTTCAATAATTTTTATTGCTTCTGGAAAGTCTAACAATTTTCAGTAAAATTAAATCCATTAATTTTGTTAGATCATCTCAAAATACAAAGTTTCATATCTAGCAGCTAATGCGTAGCTGAGTAAAATATCTGTTTTTTTATTTTTATTTTTTTATTTTCCCCCATGATGACTAGCTTATGACCAAAGAAACTGTAATCAATTGTTTTTCTTTTTCTTTTTTTTTTTTTTTTCAGTTTAACCTTAGGTGACTACATTATCTTATACTTGTCATGATGTAAAAAGTCAGTTCTACTTTTAAGACTTATTTAGAAATATTCAGTACAATCTGAAAGCAATGTAAGTAACGTTCTGTCACTGAGAAACTCTAGCACCTCCAGCAAATTATCTTTATAAAGAAAACTTTAGAATTGGTGTTTTACAACACTCACTTAACTTCCAGAAGTAACACCCAAATCCAGGAAAACATATTATGAGCCTTGCACCTATACTGCAGCAAGTAATAGTCTCATGGAGAACATTTATTTCCATTCAAATTTTATAAGCACTCCTTTAGATCTGAAACTTTTGCTGAGAAAAGTGTCTTCAGATAATGAGAAAAAGTGACTGATTTTTTTAATTTTTTTTTTCCCCAAATCAAATGATGATTTAATTAGAGTTTTTGTTTGTTTGTTTGTTTGTTTGCTTGCTTGCTTTATAATTATGAACAGAACAGTAAGTTAGATAAGCTAGAGACAATTTTTATTTCTTTCTATTGATTTATGGGCAGAAGGACATAACCAAGAGGTAACACCAGTATCATCACCTGCAAATAATGACTCATAGGGTTCATTCTACTTGATTTTAGCATATTTTT